AAATTCTATGGTGTGGGAGGAACAGCAGAAAAGAGAGAGTAGGGAAGATACTGATGATGCAATAAAAAGAACCGTATCTTGGAAATGTATCAGTGTAATGATTCTGAATTTGTAAAACTTAAGTATTCAAGGAGGGGAGGGGAGAAATATGGAGAAATGGGGGAAAAGATTAATTTGTGGGGAGGTGTGAAAACAGGGACAGATCTTTTCTTTCTTTAATTTAGATTTCCATTAGATCATTTGTGCATATTAAAAAGACCCTATGAGTTCACAACGGGAACTGGGCATTCAGGACTATTGTGTGGTTAACCACAGCCCTGCAGACACAGTCTTGGCATGTCAAGGTTCTGTCACTGAACAGTATTTGGAGGGAGCTCAGATTCTACATGGCAAATGTCAGTATTCTTTCGTAAGGCCACACTCTGAGATGTCGCCCTTTACGAGAAGGAAAACCCTAGACTGGAAGAGGAGGAAGGAAGCAAACTTTGTGCCGTGACTTTAAAAAGGCTACAGGCTCCTCTGCGTGTTCTTAGAAATACGAGTTGCGATGGATCTCACATCTGAATGTGGGTAAGAGTCGCCTGGTGACCCTCTAAGACTGCAGGTTCTTCAGATTCAGTCCTAGACACTGTGACTTAGAAGTGAGGCCAGGGAATCTGTAACCCGTACCCCATTTTAACAAACCCTTCAGGTGGTAGGGATGTCAGCGGCCGGCAGACCACAACGGGACAGAGGAATTCACAGCTCAAAGGAGAGGACTTTATGCCCTGATTTTCACGGATGGGGAAACTGGTATTTGTTGTACGTCAGTATTACTGAGTTCATTCTTAGAAAACCAGATTTTCATGTTGGTGCACGATGTGAATTTGGGGAAAGCCATATGCTTAGCTCTATGTGAGGCCCTTTCTATATAGTCTCATTTCATACACAGAATAACCTTGTAAGATCAGGATTATTTTTCAGGTTAGGCAACTACAGATTAAGAAGGTTTAAGTATCTTGAGTGAGGTCATACAGCTAAGAAGTGTGGAGTCAGGATTCTAAATCAATATGTATTTGAGACCTTCTCTGTATACCATGTACCTTCTAAACCTGTCTTCAGGTGAAACTTATGATGCATCTACTGTGACTGGACAACAGTTATTCAGGGGAAAAGGTGGACATTATAAATGGAATGACCAAATTCACAGAGCCAATGCCAGGCTTTAGTGCACACTGGCCTTACCCAGGGAATTTCAGTCCTGAGGGCTGAGTCTTTTCTTAATGGAGTCCCATGGTTCATAGCATCTGCTCTAGGGTCATCAAAGGAACCTTTCTACTGATGGAACGCCTCTTACTACCCTTCCCCATTTGGGACTCAGTCAATGGCTACCACTGATCAGCTGCCATGACAGAGGATAAGCTCAATACATCCTGTAACCTGGTTTGATTTTGTCATGGTCATGAAAACGGCGGGGGCGGGGGCGAGCATAACCTTCTCTGCAATTCCAACTTTTCTCCTTTATATGTTAATAATATTCCATTGTTATGATTATCAAAAGAGCATATCAACTTTTTCAGTGAATAGTTATTGAATTCTGTCTAAGGCTGTGTGCCAGGGAGGGAAGGGGATTTAGATTCCTGAACAAGTCAAAGCCCTGCCCTTGGGAAGCTTATATGCTAGAGGACACTGCACCAGTGACACACAGAAAATAAACAACTGAATACATAGGATGTCAGTGAACATCGGTGTGGAGAAGAATAACGCAGAGTAAGAAAGATAAGGAAGGGAGAGTGGTCTATATTGTACATATTAACACGTACGAAAGTAGGTACTTTGGAAAACTTTGAACACTAGGAAAACAATATAAAATATCATCCAGAATCCTCCTCCTGATACATAGATATAACCACTGCTAACAGTTTGGTCTGTTTTCTTTCGGACCTTTTTCTCTATTGAGTTGTGATCATATCCTATCGGCTTTCTTGGTGTAACCTGCATTTTTTTACTTAACAGGCCGTAATCATTCTCCCATGTCATTAACACGACTTCATAGTTAAAGGTGCGCTAAGTGCCACTGCAGGAATGCGCTACCATCGATTTAGTTATTTCCTCTGTTGTTGGTCATGTAGATTATTTCCCATTTTTCCCCATTACAAACATCACACTGAGGCTCTTCCTTAGATAAATCGTTGTGTGGATATCTAAGTATTTTTTCAGAATGAATTTGTGTGTCTTTGAGTCAGTTTTCTGAGGCTCTTGATGGATGTTGCCAAACTGCCCCCCAGAAGCAGGGGGGACTCGGCCATCTTATCACAGTGTGTAGCAAAGCCTTTCCTAGGCTCTCTCAAGAGTTCTGTTCTGGGCTTGCATTTAATCTGCCCCAGTCTTGATTGAGGGTCTAGTCCTCCCAGGTCTGAGGATACAATACTCCTTCCTGTACCACTCCCCAGTGTGACACTCGAAAGGACCCTTCCCATCTGCACGGTGGAGAAGAACGCCTCTGACCACATGGGCACCTTCGCCAGGATCTGAAGAGGTGACCTTCCTCCCTTCCCCCAGTCTTTGCTCGAGTGAGTCTAAATCTATTCCTGGCCTCTCAGGGCCCCCCCTCCAGGATGCGGTAATCACAGCACTAACCTGTGTTCACATTTCCCATTATCGAGCAGAAATCCCCCTGTGCATCGACATAGCCTGGCTGCTTCCTAATGGCCCCAGCTCCCAACTTCTAATGGTCCCATCCTCATTTCTCACAGGAGCCAGCTCTTTTTGTTAGTGCTTTAAGATTCCTGGTCCAGATGAAATTTCCCCCATGATGTCCATCTGGCCAAATTGAAGGTGATGCAGGCAGTGAGACAGAGAGACGGGTGTGTCTGCGTCAATAGGACAGAGGAACGTCCAGGGCTATCCATCTTCCATCTCCTCCAGTGACATCCCACCGCCCTCTCCTTGTCTGCAATGTGGGGATGAGAGACGACATCCCTAATAGTTAGCGCCATGCCACAGAGACAGGGTGGATGCAGGTACTCTGCTCAGAGCCCTCCCTTCCAGCCCTGACAGCACGAGAAGATGTTGCTTCTTTCTTTGTGGGTCAAACCCCTTCAGAGTGTGGCCCTTCCCCCTTTGCAGTTCACCACATGGGAGATGTAATCTTTGGAGGAGATGTTACCAAGGGCAACAGGGACTCTATGCACGTTGATCCTTCCTGGGGTCTGAGCTGTTTGCGCTATGCCTTAAGAAAGAAGCCCTTACCCGCGCTTGACCTCAACTGCGGCTTTTCCTCAAAGTAAATAAAATGCTTTGCTGACGCAGAAATCATGCTCAGCAGCGATTACAAAGCACAAAAATAATGACTTTTTTAAAAAAGGAAAATACTATGAGCACTGGACGATACCAGCACCGCCATTTTTGTTTTTTTTTGCCACCTGGGGATCAGGTTTTCCATGTCTCCCTTCCTTGATTAAGGTGTGAGATTGCTCACGGGCTTCCCCGGCCGGCTGCTAAGTACACGGGTTTTAGGCTAGGCACCCATTTCTGGGAAGAGAGGTGGGCGAGTAAAAGAAAAAAAGAAGTTCTTCAGCTGCAAATTCAAGAAGTTATCTCTGAACTGGGATTTAATTGGTAACCAGTAATGAAGTTATGAAAACAAAGAAGTCTTCTTTCCAAATCCCCAAAGGATTCCTGGGGAGCAGGCTGCAGCCTCTCTGTGTGACAACAGCGCATGCCAGAAGCAGGACATTCCCCATAGGTACAGGTGCATGCAACTGCCTCCTGGAGCTGCCGTTCACCTTCTCCCAGGTGCCTCTAGCGTTCCCACCTCGCTCAGGTTTGAGGTAAAAGTCACTCATTAGCTCAGCAAATATGACGGGGCTCCCCCTTGGTTCCAGGGATTCTGCTGGCACCGGGGGTTCAGAAGTGAGCCAACTACAGAAAGTTCCTCCCTTCACAGAGCTTTCATTCTAGTGGAGTGAAGGCAGATCAGCCACTGGGAAGGAAGGAAACAAACGCAGTAACTTCAGGGCACGTGTGGTGCCTGCAGGGAATTTTAAAAAGCAGGTGATTGAATGCTAGCGGTGTGAGCAGCTAATGGAGAGTGGTTCCCGCTGCTCCATCCCCTATTTCATTCTCAGGAGCCAGAGGAATTGTCTGAAGAGGAAACCTGATCCTGCGTAATCATGGGAATTTGACATTTCATTCCTCGTCCTTTCAACATTGTCTTTTTCCATCTACTAGACTGTAAGTGTCCTGAAAGCAAGGATAGGACTGCTTTGCTAACTTCATCCCCGCAGTGTCACATATAGTAGAAGCGCAGTAAATATGTGTGGAACGGATGGATGGATGAAGCAAGGAAGGCTCTATTTGAGGAGGCTTCTGTGATTGATACTTAGGAGAGGCTCAAGCTACTTCATATCCATCAGGGAAGCACCCAACTGGAGGGGCAACAAGAAGCACAGTATGGGATCCTGTGGGCTTGGGAAGCTGACTCCAGGTGTCTGAAAATGGCACCTCCGTGGCCCTTCACCACCAACCCAAGCACAAAGCCTGGAAAGGTGACCTCAGAGACTCACTTTGGTGGTATTAGGTCTAGAAGGGTTTCCATAGGGAGACCACTGAGAAGTATGGTTGACTCAATTCCTTAACATCATAATTCAAACTCCTAAGAAGGTAGGAGAGATTGTGGGGAGCGATGGGAGTGTAGCCCCTCAAGGGCTCTGAGACACGTAGATTAGGATCTTTATGAAGGTATCCTGGGTTCTTCCTTTATTGGCAGGGCTTCTATCATCTCCAGTACACCTGATTGCTATTTATGCCCACCAGCTTGGTTCAAACCTTTAATGAATGTCTTTGCTCAGAGGTCTTGAGGCTGAAGGTTTTTTTTTTTTTTTTGAATCATCAAAGACCTGAAAGTCAACCTGGCTTCATCAAAAAGGCAGTGAATTCCCTATTAAAGGAAAGACTGAGGTCGAGTCTGGACATGTCAGGGGTGTTAACACAGGTTTCCCCCGCTAAGAAGCAATTACCTTTCTCCCTAACTGCGAAAATCCTCTTCACATTTCTTCCAGTTAGCGAAACCGGGAACCAACGCAGGTCATCACAAAGAGAACTTGCAAAATGTGCAGGGTATCTGCAAATCAAACACCGGATAAGAACTGAAAAACAAATTGCTCTGAACTACTGTCCAAACCTGACCTTTTGTGAGCCTGTGACATAAAACACTCATTCGATGAACCGTCAAAGAGGACTTTATCCTATTCCGTATTCATGTCACACACTGGAAGTCAGGACCCAAGGGTTTTCTGGGCCTTGTTTTTCTCATCTGCAAAAAGGGGTTGAACATTTCTATCTCCCAGTGTGGTTGGAAGGGTTCCCAGGTGTCACACTTAGGAAGCACCAGGCTCCCACTCAGCACTTCATAAACCATGGAGGCATTTGAGGGTGAACTCTCTCAGTTCTGGGGCACTGAAAGTTTAACACTTCTTAATAATACTAATTACACTGGGCCAAGGCAGAAATCGAACACTCCAGTGTTCCTGCTCCCCGATCATGGAAGCAGTAAAAAAGAAAAAAGTGTCAATTTTATCCCTTTGGTGACCTGTACACCCACCTAGCAAGACCAGGCCTAAACATGTGGTCCCGATTTCTTGTCTTAGGTGAAAGACTCATGTTCTTAGAGAAGCTGATTTTTACCAGTCTCAATAAAAAAGTAATTTCCCATCCATAGAGAATGGATTGGACTGCAAGAAGCCCTGCTAAATGTTCTGAGCAGATACGTGGATATCACACCCAACAGAGGACATATGCCTGTGCTGGTTCTTCTTCCTATCCACCCTCACCCCAGCCTCTACACTATGTCCATCCATGAAACCTCAGCTCAAATATCACCTCCTCCATGAAGCCTGTCTTGATTGCTATAAATGACTTTTAAGTTCCTTTATACTCTGTGATGGTGTCATGTATGTATGTCTCTCTTGTAACATGGAGAGCAGTTTAAGTTTGGGCTTGTGATGGGGTTTGGGTAATAGATTTTTCTCACTTGACTGCAAGCATTGGGGTGGGAGTCCCCAGTGCCCACCACAGAGGCAGAGTACCCTATAATGAAATGCTTGTGGAAGGAGAAAGGACATCTGTGTGGCTCTTGGCTATAAAGAACACTGAAAACAGGAGACACAGCATTGTGTGGGTAGGTGTCTCACTGCCCTGTAAGGCTTGGGAAGGAGCAGAGGTTGCAACCAGAGGGATTTAGGTTAGTGTTCAGGAAGAAAGCAGCTTTGCAAACATTCTTTCAAATTCCAGGCTGCCTAAAGAGTTAAGAGTGGGATACCAGGGAAAACAGTCAGCAACTATATCAGCCTCTACAAACACGACAATCTGCTTTACCCCAATCCTGATTTTTATTTTCCGTAGGTTTTAGAAGATAAACTTTATGGTGAAAGATTATGAGCAGGGTTTCGGCTAGGCTTCTTAAGCTAGGGGGATTTAAGGAAGGAGACAGTACTATCTTTCTGGGACCCAGGGAATCTCTGGGGACGCGTGGAGCTGGAAAGGCTCTCAGCAGCTGGGTAACCCTGGGTACGGAAGTTCAGACACATCTCCTTTAAGTCATCAGAAGAGAAACACCCCTTGGCTTCTGCTGTGTGAGGGAAAGAGGGGAGCACGACCAGATCCTCTCCCCCTGGAAAGGGCAGAGGGAAGGCTAGTCCGGGCCTTTCTGCTCAGCCTATTAGGCAACAGCAGACTGAGTACAGACATGCTTCGCTGCAGTGCCAGGCTCAAAACAAGGGCTAGGGTGGTAGGTAGCCTTCTGCCAGGTAGAAACCAGCCTTTTGCCAGCAGACACTCCTCCACCAGACAGTCCTGCTCCCAGCTATGCGGCCACTTCCCAGGCAGTTTCCAAACAAAAAACAGGACTGAGTTCATTTCTCACTGACTTTTTTTTTTCTCTCCTGCATTCCTGATCCCTACCTTTTGCTGTTGTTTTAAATTCCTAATTTATAGGCCATGGAGTTCTTGGCGAACAGAGACGCTAGCTAGGGAGCACACAGAGGAGGAGAAGTCTCCACTCCAGCCCTGGGTCCGCCACTGTGTTACTGTGTGACCTTGGCCAAAGGCACTGCATCTCTGGGCTCACCGTGCTCACCTGTGAGTTGGGGTAATTCTGCCTGCCGTATTGACCACGCCAGCCAACGGTGAAGCCGTAACAAGGAGAACTGGAAGGAAGCCCCTTGAAAACACAGAAAAAAAGAAACTTTGTAGGACAGAGAAACACATTTTGTTACCTATGCTGAACTGGGGGGTTCTCCACAAAATTGGGAAATAGTGACTCCCAGCACGCAGGTGGGTTTATGTTAAGTGCAGCCGTGTGTTAGAGCAACGCTTTTACAGGCTGGTTCTACCTGGCGGGGGGCGGGGCATGGACTCAACTGAGACGCATGCCTAGATGGGGGACCCGGGATCCCCCATACCTCAGGGGCTATCTTAGAGTTCTGCAACAACACAGAAAGTGGGTAGTACCAAGGGTTCTGGAGCCAGAGACACACTCGGCTTCCAGTCGTGCTTTTGCCTGGCCACCTGGAGCAAAGTGCCTCAGTGCTCGGTGCCTCAGTTTACCCATCTATCACAAGATCTAAATGGGATGAAGCATGGCAAATTGCTTCAGAGCAAAAGCACAGCGTCTAATACAGAGTAATAAATACAGTTGCTCAGTGTCTGGTACAGCAAGTGATACTTATTATTTTACTACTGATGTTATTATTAATCCAAAGTACCGAGTGCGGCCTACGCCTCAACTCTCCTTCCCTCTTACCCAGGAAATCTCCCTCCTGAAAAACTTCGAAACTGAGGCCCTGCTTTGCAGCAAGAAAACTGTGCTCCTCAAGGCCAAATGCTCCAAAACCAGTGTCTGTGTGGGGACCGGGGTGCGGGGGGGGGGGGGGGATTTCCCTTTTGGGAAGAGACCCAGAGGCCTGTGAGAGACGGGGGGGAAAAGGAGGGAGGCGAGAGAAGCTGCCGGTGCTCTCGCGCAAGTTCACTGAGTTGATGAAGTTATTAAAACATAAAACACGCACAGGCTCCAGGAGGGAAAAATAAATAAATACAATAAAACAGCCCGCGCGTCCAACCCTGTTCCCCCAGGCGGTGTAAAGGCTGGAGGGCGAGGGAGCCCGAGGAACGAGTCGGTCAGGTGAACCAACCTCCCGGGGCGCGGCGCAGGGAGGCGTCCGCCCCGCCCAGGCTCGCCCACAACTCAGTGCCGGCCCCTCCTTTAAAATAAAAAAAAAATAAAAAAAAAAAGAAAGAAAGAAAGAAAGAAAGAAAAAAATGCCCCGGCGAGAGGCCCGCTCCTGCCGAGTCCCCGGGGCTCCCGCGGCCATCCCGGGAAAGAGCGGAGCGAGAACGCCCCTCGCGCGCCATTGGTCCACCCCCGTAGCAACAGCTGCGCGCCGGCCAATGGGAGCCGCGGAGCCGCCGGCCGCGGTCCAAGAACCTGGCTGCCAGAAAGTTCCCCGTCCCAGCCAAGAAAATAAACCCAGGCACTCTTCAGATTCCAGCGCTAACTTTTCTTTCTTTCTCTTCCTCCCCTCCCCCTTTCCCCGTACAACTTGTCTTCACTCTTAGTTGATGCCTGCCTGAGCCCCCAAACTCCGACGCCTTTTCGAAGGTCATCCCTTCCCACCCCCAAGGGAGAAACCTCATTAGAGGTAAAAGAAAGGACAGATTGAAAACGGTGTGTCAGGCTTTCAAATCCCACTCGGTCCTCATCACCAGCGACCCCTGGCAAACCTCAATTACAATAGCTTCATTTTTAATAGTGTGGTTTTTGTTTGGACAGATCTGCAAGTTCTGTGCCCAAAAGAAGGGCCCTTTGAACACCTACTGTGTGCCAGGCTTTGTCCTCGCAGTTTTATACGTCTTGCTGCATTTAATCCTCCTTGTAATTCTGGGAAATGACTCGCCCTGTCTCCATTTAATAGATGGGATGTTGACGTTCAAAACGAGGAACGGAAGTGTCCAAGGAGACACCGTTGGTATGTGGTCTAGCAGGATTCAAACCCAGGCCAGCCTCCTTCCAAAGACCACTCCGTTTCTGTGATGCCACACACCTCCACGAGCCCATTTCAGTGTAAGATATCCCAAAGAAATGGTGCAGGGTATGAGAATCTGATCCAGACCCACTGGTTTGTTAATAAGCCAGAGTGTGACTTGCACAATCGCATGGGGTCTTGACAGTGAGAAGGTCTCATCTCACACTTGGTTTCAGGCTCTGCTGGTGCTGTTTTGAAATTCTTAAGTTTTGAAGACTGGGCCTGCGAATTAGGTAGCCAGCCCTGCATCCAGGGATAAGAAGCTTCCAGGACGGTTCAGTGAAGACAGCTTATTTCAGTGTCCCAGAGGGATCTCTCAAGTAATGGAGGAGGAGGCTTGTAAGTCTCTCTCTCTCTCTCTCTCTCTCTCTCTCTCTCACACACACACACACACACACACACTTACACTTCTGCACACACACCACATATTAGTCAGTTTTATTACACTGTAACTGTAATTTGAATCCCCAGTCTATTCAATGGGAGTGGATATATTTATGGCTGTGTTTAGGTGTGTGTGTGCGTGCGCCCGCGTGTGCTAGCTGGGAGAGGGAATAGGGGATTGGGGAATTTACGACACACAGACACAGCCCTGATTATTGCCTCTATTCTTTCCCTTTGGAGACATTACAAGGGATTTGAACCAGGCCCTGCTTTTATGAAATACATACTTGGGAGGTTTTGGAAAGGCCATAAACGCTGGTCTGTGTGGGGCTGAGGTTGGGGTGGTGCCAGCTCTTCTGGGAGGAGACAGGCCTTGAATACACTATCCACTGGGCCTGGCAGAAAACCCACGTAGTCCTGCATCTGTTTTACCCCCAAATCCAAGTCTTCTTTCCTGGCAAAGAGAGGCCTGGTTTTTATTCTCCCGATTGTGCTGGTTTTACTCTCTGAGTTAGGAGATTATCAGTGAATCACTGATGGTGTGAAAGTCTGGATGTATCCCTGACACTTATTGTGCCAACCAATATGTAAATTGTGTGCGGTCCGGGTTGCAAGGGACTGCGAGATGGCGGATAACTTTGGAGCCCTTTGTTTTGTGGTTAAGGGAACTGAGGCCCAGGGAAGGAAGCCCAGTTGTGCAGCCTAAACAGCTGGGTTATAGAGGTCTTTGGGTTAGAGTCCACTTCTCCTGACTTCCATTCCAGGCCTCTTTCTTGCTTTCATTTCTGCATGAGCAGAAAAATGCCATAAAGCATTACGTAATCAGTTCATGTGGGGAAAGGTTAATTTAATGAATAGCAATATGGGGTCAAAGGGGAGGGTCACTAACATTTATTAGTGCTTGGAACTTGCCCCTGCTTTGCCTACATGGTCTCACCTAATTGAATCTTCAGGACAACACTGAGAGAACATAGGTAATATTATTTTTATTTAACAGATGGGAAAAGTGAGGCACAGACTCATGGCATAACTTGTGTAGGGTCCCATACCTTATAAATGGATTAGCTGAGATATGAACTCAGTCCTTCTTCATCCCTGAATAGCAGAATTAAATTATTCAGATAATTATGGCTCCATGGTGCTTCATTTTAATGACCATATAAACCAGAGAAATGAGTCTATACCTGCCAAACATAAGTTGTCTGTGGTGGTCAACATAAACTAACTTTGGGTTGTTAATTACTCTTAATTCAGTTTCATCTTAATTTTGGGTGGGCTTTCTGGTGATGCTGTGCCCCATTCACTTTGAAACTACAGACGCACTAAAAATCCCAGTCCAGCCAAAGTATGTCTAATGATTTTCTTGGTGGGTGTTTCAGGAAAAAAAAAAAAAAATATATATATATATATATATATATACATACACACACATATATATTAGCAAATGGCTTCACTGATTAAATCATTTGGTTCTAGGTGAAACTGACAAATATTGGCAGCCATCTTAATGACCAAGGCTTCCCCCCAGCTTCTGCTCACCAAGTAACAGTGACTCAGTGGATACAAAACTTACAACTATGAACACAACACATGGGACTGGGTAAACATAAATCAATAGAACTACAGTAGGGCCCCACAAAAGCTATATCTGATCCCTAACCCCCAGAATCTGTGAAGGTGACTTTATTTGGAAAAAAGGTCTTTGCAGATATAAATAAGTTAAGGACCTCAAGATGAGATGGTCCTGGATTTAGGGTGGACCCTAAATCCAACGTTAGGTGTCCTTATAAGAGAGGAGGATTTATAGAGTGAAGATGGCGATGTGAAGATGGAGGCACAACCTAAGTGTCCATCGACAGGTGAATGGATGAAGAAGATGTGGTCCATATACACAGTGGAATAGTACTCAGCCATAACGAAGGAGGAAATAATGCCATTTGCAGCCACATGGGTGGACCTAGAGATTATCACACTAAGTGAAGTAAGTCAGACAGAGGAAGACAAGTACCATATATCGCTAGTATGTGGAATCTAAAAAAGTGATACAAATGTACTTATTTACAAAACAGAAGGAGACTCACAGAGGTATAAAACAAACTTGTGGTTACCAAAGGGGAAAGCGGGGAGGGAAAAATTGGGAATTCGGGATTAATAGATGTACACGACTATATATAAAACAGATAAACCACAAGGACCTACTGTATAGCACAGGGAACTACATTCAATATCTTGTCATAACCTATAATGGAAGAGAATCTGAAAAAGAATATATATACATATGTATATGTATGTATAACCGAATCACTTTGCAGTACACCTGAAACATTGTAAATCAACTATACTTCAATTAAAAAAAAGAAAAAAAAGATGGAGGCAAAGATTGGGGTAATGCACCCCCAAACCAAGGAACACCAGGGACTGCTGGCAGCCACCAGAGGCTAGGAGAAAAGCATGGAACACGGATCCTCCAAAAGCAGCCTACCCTGCCCACACCTCAATTTCAGACTGCTGGTCTGCAGAACTGTGAAAGAGTAAATTTCTGTTGTTTTAGGCAAAACTAGTTTGTGGCAATCTGTTATCAAAGACGTAAGAAACTAATACAAGTACTAAATTATTTTACCATATTTTAAAAAGGAAAGAAACACAGCATTAAAATAGCATTAAAAGAATTCCAAGCTAAAACCGTCTACCTAGAAATGTATTGGAAGAAATGATAAAAATGAGATTTGTGTATCTGTATATCAGTAAATAGTTC